GGACCGCGGCCGCTGTGCTCAGGGCAGCCTATGCTGGCGGTGGTTATGGAGGTCACGGTGGTCACGGCGGTCACGGCGGTGGTGGAAACAGAAGTAGCGTAACGTGGGCGCAGAGCTCACTGACGACAGGCTCTGCTGTGAACGCTTTACACCACAGCACTGCGGTGACGCCCACGACCAGCTGGTCCCCTCCCACTCACTGCATCTCTCCGCACCTGGCGGTCACCAGTGACCACAGGGCACGTGCAAAAGGTCCCACATCTGGTCATCTTCCCCGCTTCTTCCTCTGCTACTTTCTTCTGGGATCAACATCCCTTTTCCAGCAAAAGACAAATATTTATGTGCTTTTTTTTTTTGAGATGGGAAAAATGCACATGGAAGTAGTGAAGACATTTGAGAGCCACCAATTTCACTGCAGCACAGTGGAGCTGATGGGATTCTCCCAGCCGGATTTATTTGGGAACAGAATGTGGAGACACTGCACAATCCTGCGTTAAGTCTCTATCAGAAAACACTTATGGGAATGACAGCGAAACCAGATCTAGGAGCTATTCTAAGCCCTGGAGATTAGCAAGTAATCACAGGCTCAAGTCCTAATACAATTCGGGGGAGATGCGGAAGGATTTAGAGAATTAAGTAGCAAAACAGGATTTAAAAAAAAAGGGAAAGTTTGACCTCCACATGGACTGGTCAGTATCAGCAAAATTCTACCTTCACCTATGTGTGGCCCCATCATTGTACTTTGCATTATTTGATGATTATCTCCTGATCTGAAATCTGTCTCTTCTTCTAGACTGGAAACATCGTGACGTCCGGAACTGTCCGTGTCACCGCACTGACCCCAGAGCAGCGCCCCAGCGGAGGCCACGGTTCAACGTCAGGAGCTCTCCGAGTCAGCTTTAGGGAAAGCCCCAGCTCTGCCCCTCACTAGGAGAGTTACCACGGCTGACTTCCCAGGCTGAGCAAAGAGAGACCAAAACACGGACAATGAAAACCAAAATCTAAGTCACGTTAGAGCTTGAGTGTCCTAAGCACTAGAATCAACGACGGTTCCCAAGGCGCTCAGGAAGGGCAGGCCCAGCGACCCCGGGGGCAGAACTGCGGCGGCGCCTGCTGGAGTGCGGTCACGGCTGGACGGACGGGTTCTGAGACGTGGAGACGACGCAGAGAAGAGGCCAGGGAAGGCAGGAGAGCCTGAAGCAGAGCCCAGGAGGGCCTGGAGGGAGAAGTGGGGGAGAGGAGCCCTGCCCCCCGCCAGCCCCGCACCACACGGCTCCCAGGTAGCTCCAGGGTTTCCGGGCCAGGGAAGCCCGAGCTCAGAGCCGGCAGACCTTTCCCGCACGTGCCCCCGCTCCCCGCCAGGGGAGGGTCCCGCACAGCACTGCGGTCATGTTAAACGTTCTTCTTAAGACAGTCCAACAACGTGAAATGGAAGAAGGCGCCTCTTAATCCCTCATCCAGAGAACCACAGCTCTTCCACACACAGAGTTAAAGCTGCTAACACTTTCATCCGATCTGTATCACCGATGCCCAGCAACAAAGTCTGCTGTGCTCCGCCTGCAGCAAGCAGTATGCTGTGAAGAAAATGGAACAGATAAGGCTGAATACTGACCCCCAAAGATGTCCACATCCTAAACACTGGGACTCACAAACACGCTACCTTACAAACAAAAACACTTGACAGATACGATTACAAAAAGACCTCGATGTGTGGAGATTATCTTGTCGCAAAGGCCCTTGTAAGAAGGGTACAAAGATTCAGGGAGAAGACAATGTGACACACAGGCAAACTCACAAGGGCACGAGAGGGGTTCTCCCCGGGGCCTCCCAAGGGGCCAGCCCTGCGACCCCCTGAGATCTAGTCCCCCAGACTGACCGTGAATTTCTGACCCCCAGGATCGTAAATAAAGACATACTGTTTTCAGCTGCCAGGTCTGTGGTACTTTGTTACACTGGCAATAGGAAACTCACGCAGAATCTAATTGATAGGTTCTAATTATGAGTAATTAGGAAATAGCTCTGTGATCTACCATTTACAAAGCAGTTTACAGACATGTGCTTTTCCAGCCATCAAATCCTAACTACCGACTTGAAGTTCCTAAGTTTGTTACACAAGGCAACCACATAAGTTACATAACAGTGCAGGTATGCAGACGCTGGTTTTACGCTTTGACAGCAGGAAAGATGTTTTTAAATGATGTTTAATACAAGAGGGCCATAGTCTACTCCAGGGGTATCTCTGTCTCCTAAGAGAAGACAGTTGTGAGCACA